CCGTGTTGAGTCATGGATAATTCATGGTGTGCCGCGAGAAGAAAAAGGTTGCGGAACACTGGTCTAGATAGTGTGGGACTCTTAACGTCTCACGACCCTATGGGCCTTCACGGCCTGTTACAGGGATAGCTTTACTTTACTTACTTACTTACACGCGTAGAGGGCAGTGTACTGGACATAATTGCGGAAAGCCCGTTGCTCATTACGATGTGCGCGTCGCGTCGGCCTGCACAGCCCTGACGGAGTACCGCAAGGCGATCACGCTGCTTGCGCGGGACGTGTTGCACCTCGGTTTGCCACTTGCGAACGTGCCGAGCCTCTGCGTGGGAAAACATTTCATTTCGTGTCGAAGAAAAATACAACTGGACAGCTCAGCATCGACAGGACGAATTCTCAAGTTGCGGAAATGAAAAGCAAGACGAGACGGCAATACTTGCTGAATTTACAAATTCCTGAGCCGTTAAATTATTCCTGTTATTTATTACCATTAAACACTTTACAATTTTCACTAAACGAAGAGCAATTCTTCTTGCAGTATATTTCATTGACTGTGTTGAACTGGAATCTTTCTTGAGGGCATCGTATTATTTCAGCTGGCCGAGGAATTCCCTGCCTTCTACTGAACCGAAAGTTCATATCGTGTTCAGTAGAACCCGGCATGGACCTTATTTTGGCGCCAATTAAGTCCAATTCATATTTTTCCACTTCATTTAAATAACATCTGCTCTAATGTTATCCTCCAAATTCAAGCCCAGATCACCCAAATTGTCTCCTTCTTTCACGTTGCCCGACAAATAGCCCAACCTTTTTCTAATTTCTTCCATGCGTTCTATATGTCTTGCTCATCATATCCTACTTAATCTGCTTTACCTATTAAAGAGTGCCGATTATGACGCTCGTAGTAATTTCCTCCATTCTGCAAATACTGTTTTCTTTTAGTTCCAAACTGTTTTCAAACACCCTCATTCCTAATTGTTCCAATTATAAATATGATAGGCTCATAATTCAATTCTTGACATAGAGGGTGATTCTAAATTATTGTCGGGGTGTCCGTGGCCTAAAAATTTTCAAAATGGAAACAATAGAATAAAACTGCGTTAGGAATATGAAAATGTAACACAAAAAGTTTTATTACTTATAGATTTGATTTGTTTCTGGTCCGTCACACCAACAATTACAAATATAAATCACTCCGTCCAATGTGACCTGTAAGTTTATTACTACATGAAAAACTTAACACCCTTACATGTTTCGGTCTCTGCGGACCATCTTCAGAGGGCAAACATCACTACAAATAGGAAACCACCATCACATAATTTGTTTAGACGTAAAGTACGTACACTTACGTGCTACAATGCATAGTACACAAAATAGAACATCACACAAACACAGCAGTTTCCTGGAAATGTAAAGTCTTTAAAAATTATTTAAAATTTCTTGATGCTAATTAAAAATTTTGCATTGTCAATAATTAATATTCATGTAGAATTCATGCTGCAGAAACGACTGTGTCCGACGTACCAAATGACTCAGTCTCACTCCACCCAAAAAGAAACTAAAAAAAAATAACCCGTTTTATTTTAATGCAACGGAATCGAAATTCAGATTCATCGTGGTTTTACTCGATTCTTCTGTGATGAACCTAATACGGCTTCATCACACAGGCTCTCAGATCACGACCCTCGTTCAGAAATCCTGGCTCCCGGGTAGACATTCGACTGTGTGGTCAATCCAGCGACATACTCCAGACAGCAGACATTTGTACCGCCTTTGTGATGTTGGCAGGAATAGGATTTATCTGAAGCAGAGAGAGAGAGAGAGAGAGAGAGAGGGAGCGGACAAGACGGTTTGGGAGAATATCAATGACCCATGTACTGAAGCGAGGGGAAGTGTGTTCTTCAAGAAGAGAAGTAAACATGTTCCGCATAACGGAGGGGACAGCCATGAGGTCCTTTGACACATTTCCAGCGAGCTGAAGAATAGTAAATTGTATATCTGTTTATTTGTATCAATGGGTAGCAATTTTCGAGATAAAGAAACACGAATTTTGCTATTTCTAAGATATCTTTACTGTGAAGCCACAATGCTAACACTAATCTGTTATGAATACAAAGGTAATCTGTGTAGGGTTTACGGTTTTGTGTACCTAAACAACTGCCCCGAAAGATGCACACATCCCGAAAAGCTTGTGGCCCACTCACGAACATTATCGAGACAGCATGGGACAGTACCAATTCAGTTTTCAAGCCAAAGTAACAGCTTTCTTAGGGACAGAAGCGAGGGTCACAATTTGTTCTCCTCACGGAACTGAAATTGAAGCAAGGGGAATTACACAGACCGGGCATGCAGCACGCATAGGACAGCAGAAGAGACATGAGAAACTTTTATCGATTTAATAGAAAAAAACCGAAAGGAATGGATTTCTTAAGAAACGTATGCGTACATAGGAGGATAATATTAATATGATCCTAAGGAAGCAAGTTACGATGGTTTGTACTAGATAGGATTATGTAGGATTTGAAATTCTCGCAGCGGTGATTATGAAGAGTTCTATCTTCTGGGATATGACGCCGTATAGTCCACTGACAGTCAACCGACGTTTCGGAGGAACATGTCGCCTCCAGAACATGCTACCTGCTTCACCCTGATGTCTAGCTTGGCTCATTCTTCGCCCCTGAAGGTGGAGGCAACACGTTGCTCCGGAACGTCTGTTGAATTCCAACGGACTACACGGCGGTATATCCCAGAAAATAGAACTCTAGACTGGATTAGATAAAGACAGGTTTCAGTGATGAATTCTTATGATCACGGTAATGGACAATCGGGTTCCACATCTTTAAGTCACGGTGCTTAACTAAGCACATGGTAATTTGACCTTGTTTACCCTCTTTATATGTGCATAATTTTCTGTTTAATGAGTCTAATGAGTCTGAATTGACGGAGACTGTGATTGATTGTAGCGTGCTATTGTACTGTACATGCCCTATTCTGTGTTTCCTTATTAATGGCTTCAGTAAGCATTAAGAACGTTTCTGTTATTTATGTGAATGTACATGTATGTCGGCCTGATATTCTCTCAGCAGCAAATCTAGTGCACTCAAATTTATTTGATCCAATTTACAATTTTATTATCATTCGATTTAGTTTGTAATTTCTGCTCCCTGAGCACAAAAGCAAGGAACTACAAGTATTATGCTTTTGGACATTATCCATTGTCTTGCCTTTATCTAAAATCCGTCCTGTTTATTTTTCAAAACACAGCGTTTCGGAGACTGGGTTCTGTCTCTCTATTCACGTACACCCTACTCAGTTGGGCTCAATCCACAGAGCTAGTCCCTATCTCTGGCCGGAGACAGGCCGGAGGCGGAGACAGAATCCAGTCTCCGAAACGCTATGTTTTGAAAAATAAACAGGACGGATTTTAGATAAGGTAAGAAGATGGTTAATGTCCAAATATATAATATATATTCTAATGTCCCATCGTCACAAACATTTAGAAGCAAGAAGCTGTTTGTCGTCAACTTCTCGGTTCAGATAGTGGTTATAAGCAATTTCCTGCCGCTCATCTGTTTCGTGTGAATTGAGTTCTGTAACGAGCCTCAGCGTTCACGTGCGGTTTCGAATACTGGCTCGGTAATTACCGTTGTTATGGCACTGAATTGGAACATTCGCGAAAATAAATTGTTCCTCTATAGTGTAGGTCTGTTTTTACATTTGAAAATTATAAAAATATAAGACAGTACAATGAGAAATTTTATCTGTAATAATTAATTCACACTTAGGTGGCAGTAATGGGCTGAAAACGGGGGAACTACAGCTGATAAAACGTGGGGTGGATGAATTGGTGAGTGAGTGAGTGAGTGATTATGTGTATGACTGAATGAATAAAAAGGCAAAATTTTCCCTTTGCTTAAATATTTAAACACTACGCCATAAAGACTTTTGGGGGAATGAAGCTATAGCTCCAGCAATGTTGACCTCGGCACTAGATCGATGTGAGGTGTCCGCTTCAAGTTCCTTCCACCTTACCCCAGGTAGATAATCACCTGTACCCCTCAGATAGGTGGCTAATGGGTACGGATAATGAATACGTTCAGATTTGTGGGTGAGCAAGGCAGTTTATGTGTGAATGAGCGAATATGTGAGTCAGTGACTAAGTGAACAAGACTGAGTATACACAGGTAAGTACGAGTACAATAAATATATTTAGATTAGTGGGTAAGAAAACCGATCACAGTTGCCGCGCGGTCTAAGACACAAACTTGAACGCTGGGATCATGGGTTCGAATCCCACCCTAGGCATTGATTTGTGTTTGGGTTTATTATGTGTTTGTGATGTTTTGTGTGTAGGTAACGACCTTACGAGGGGCTGATCCCCCGTCCAAGGAATCTACCGACTGTGTATAGGATCAAGAAACTGAAAAAGAATCCAAGTTCCAACAAAAGGACTTAGAGTCATAGATAGATAGATACATAGATGAATTGGAAATAATGTGAAAGGAAACGGTTGTTGCCAACTCGAGGAAATATTCCGAAATATGCATGGAGGGACTGGGGAAAACCTTGTCATAATAACCAGTATCCTTGACGAGACCCGAACCGAGGACCTTCCGAATGTAAGTCTAGAGTATTACTGCATGAGGAGTCTTCTCGGTGGTAATAAGTCCAAAAATGTACATAATTCAAAATATTTACATCATTAATTTATATATCATCCACAGTAAACACTTTTAAAAAATCACATATTTAATGAGATTGATAGAAACTGTTATTGAAACAATCAAGCGACATGTCAGCCCTCAGTATCCGAAGTAATCTGAATATTTAACGCTTTTAACTAGAGCGTAACATTTTATCAATTTTCATTCACTGGGAACGCCGTTTTCCACGCCAGGCAGAACAATGGGTAGGCACAATTTACACATAAACGCTTTTACCCTGGCCACACTGTCCGTACATAATGCGAACTATAATCCCAATAATTCTCTTCGTTTCTCCAGGCGGAGAGTGCAGTCGATCGGTGAGTCCTGACTGCGAGCCCTCGAGTCCGGGAGCCGTGTCTGACGACACGGGGCCTTCCCACCATGGCGACGGGTCGCAACAGTCACCCAATAATGCGGGCAGCTCCGCCGGCAACAGCAGCAAGACGCGCAGACGCAGAACTGCCTTCACCAGTGAACAGCTGCTCGAATTGGAGAGAGAGTTCCACGCCAAGAAGTATCTGAGCCTTACGGAGCGGTCGCAGATTGCGGCAGCGCTCAAACTGAGCGAAGTGCAGGTGTGCAAGGAAAGACGGCTATTTTATAGATGCAAGTGGCTTCTCTAATGGGTAACTTTCTCCTTGTCCTTACCTAATTAAGCACTACGCCATTAATACATACCAGGAGGATGTATAGATCCATGCATTCTTGACTTCGGCACTAGTTGGAGGTGAGTGGTCAGCTTCACGCCCCGGTAGCTTTACCCCCGGGGAAAGTGCCCCCCAGTTCCCATTTTATAGGAGTCTTGGTGGGTCCCAGTATCGGTCTGCACGACATGGAGAAGAGAAAATTCTTGACCCTACGGGGACACGAACTCCGGCCGATAACCAGTCGCTATGTCGGTCAAGCTATCCCGGCTCCCAACTGTAGTTGGATTAGCCGCAGTTTTTAACAAGTTGTATCAACTGCAATAGTTATTTAGCACATGAAGTTGTAAGGGAGTCCGTGATCTATTTCAAGATAGATTCTACTTATCTGCTTGGAGGGACTGGGGAAAACCACATAATATCAATCAGGATAATTGGTATCTAGGTCGAAATCATAACCTACATAATCTGAACACAGGTCAGAATTGTTACCACCTGAGTTACGTTTCTAGACGTTTTAATATTGGTGAAAGGTTTTCATTGAAGAACTGTTCGCTCATTGTTACTCACGCCATAAACTGTTCGCATTTCTAGTCACGCCAGACGCATATGGCGCGTAAACTTCTCTGTGCTTGTGAGATGCGAAGTTTTCACACTGTACAGATTTACATGGCGGTCCTCTGACTCAAGACAACATATACACTTTTACGTGATTACTGAATTTTCGGTGAATCTCGGTACCTTTATCATCAAGGTAGATGTTTCCTCCATACGTTTTCTTTATTGCTACTGGGTTGGGACTAAGTCCCTTGTACTGCGGCCACTTCAGGCCTATTGTACCAGCCCCAGATGATAGGTGAGGGTGATTGTGGAGCAATTGGTGGAATGAAGATTGGCAGGGGAAACCGAAGTACTCGGAGAAAGCCAGCGCCACTTTGTCCAAAACAAATCCCACTTGACCAGACCCGGGGATCGAACCCGGGCCGCCGCAATGGAAAGCCAGAGACTAACCGCTTGAGCTATGGCGCGGCCTTCCTCCATGCGTTCATAACAGCCTACAAGACTGTACGGCGCCTCAAGCCACAAGTTTTCTATATTTTCCTTCACAATCTCACATGTATAGACATACATCGAGTCACGACAGAGTCAAGGATTTTCTTTTCTTTTCGTGGTACAGACCGGCTCTGGAACCCACTCAGTTTCCGATCCAACGGTAACGGGGGTTCCCTCCCCGGGAGAGAAGCTACCGGGACGTGAAGCAGGTTACTCACCTCCAACTAGTACGGAGGTCATGAAGACATGGATCTATACATTCATACGTCTTCATAACGTGGTGCTCAATTAGTTAAGCACAAGGACAAAATTACCTTTCTTTACCTTTAGTGTAAATTCATGTCCAAGTGTCACGTGCTGTCTGATGTTATCGGCTCGGAAATTTCATCAGCGTCACAAGAAAAGCCTGCAGTTGGACACTGACCTTTTGTTCTTTTTCAAGGGACTATTGGCAATGATTGTGACTGCGGTTTTGTTTCTAATTTTGGTGAGAAGGCATACAAAAGATAAAGCTATCCCTGTAACAGGCCGAGGAGGCCAATAGGGTTGTGAGATGTCGAGGCTCCCACATTTTATAGAGAGTCGGTTCACAGATGGCAGTGAGGTTGTCAGCCTTACGCGCCGGCCGCCCTTTACCCCGAGGAAGATTCCTGGTACTCGTTTCTGTTAGAGGTTGAGTCGACCCCAGGGCCGTAGTGCGGCTGGAAGGACTAGGTAAATTGAAAAATCCAGTGACCTCATTGCGAATCGAATCCCGACCTTCCAGCTTGTAGCACAGTGCCTCAACAAGCTACGTTACCGCGTGTCCCGAGGAAACATAAATGCACCCTTTAATTTCCTTCAATTTTCTCTCTATACTAAACCTCTAAATTATCTCCATTTTTTTTTTGTGGATATTTATTATTTATGCTACAAGCCAGAAGGAAGCGTTTTGTGTTCCCGATGAGGTCATTGGATTTTAAATTGACCTAATCTTTCCAGCCGCATTATGACCCTGATATTGAATCAGCCTGTAAGAGAAATGAATACTGGGAACCTTCCTGAGGGTAAAGGGAGACCAGCGCATGAGGCTAACAACTTCACCACCATCTGTGAGCGGATTTTCTAGAAAATGTGGGAGCCTCGACACCTCATAACCATATGGGCCTCTACAGCCTGTTACAGGGATAGCTTTGCCTATTTTTTAAAGCTCACATATTCCAAAATTCTGTCCCATATATGAATGCCAGTTCGCTGTGTTGCAACATCAAGGTTTAAGGCATGCAAAAAAAAAACCGTTATTAATTCTCCAGTGTCGTCTCTTTTGGCGTTCATTCCATTAAACGGAACGGGAGAAAGGGCCACGGAGATCCGGGCAAAGTCTGAAGTCTGGCCCGGGAGCCATTAACCGAGGTACAAGAAAAGTTGATACAACGATTAGGAAGATGACTAGCCCGGTAGTCGGTCCACTGAAGCCGGTGAGATGGCTGTTGCAGAACACAAAATGGGCTTCAATCCTTAGGCTCTAGCCATCGGCTTTCGTTGTTTGTTATTGGCAGCATAAAGTTTATTAGTTTTTACTTGATATGAATTATATCGAGCATTAGATGTGATTACATATTTTGGCATGACCTTTCTTCTGACAGGTGAAGATATGGTTCCAAAACCGGAGAGCGAAATGGAAGAGGGTAAAGGCGGGACTCACTTCTGGCAGTGGAGGAGCGCGTGGTCAAGGAGGGCACACCGGAGGACATAGTGCCACTAAGATAGTAGTCCCCATTCCAGTACATGTGAATCGTTTCGCTGTAAGGAGTCAACATCAGCAACTCGAGAAATGTGGGCCAGGCTTGGTTCACCTACACGGACTGAGAACCCTCGGCAGCCAAGCCGGAAACACTTTTACCAGTGTTGCCAACAACAGCAGTAGCTAATAGGAGGTGTTCCTTATGGTAGCTGAACAGTGTGAAAACATAGCATTTTGGGTTACACACGAGAAGAAGGACGAATTGCTTCACAGCAATATGCAGTATAAGGACTACATTTTAAAGTAAACTAAAATTGATGTTTTACGCTAACTTTGAGAAGCTCTGCAAATAAATGTAAAATAATTCCAGTTTTGCTCCATTATCATCTCTGATGGCCGCCGTGAAGGGTGTGATAACTGACTAGACAGTGCGTTACAGCATCCTCCGTCTAGGGGTTCTGCTGCTCATGCGGCATTTGGCTCGTCGTAGGACAAGGAACTTCAACATTTCTGTAATCGGGGAAAAAAAACTTACAGACAGAACCGTATCTCCCAAAGGAACTGCAAGAATGGGTCTGTCCGAGGTCTCATTATGAGACGCGAATGCATTTATGTGAGCTCATGTCCTACCAGTATCTCATCATGAGAACTGAATGCATTTGTGTGAACTCATGTCCTACCTGTGTCATCGTGAGACGCGAATGCATTTGTGAGAGCTCATGTCATACCTGTCTCATCATGAGAACTGAATGCATTTGTGTGAAATCATGCCCTACCTTTGTTATCGTGAGACGCGAATGCATTTGTGTGAACTCATGTATAATCATGCATTTGTGTGAACTCGTGTATAATCAAACGAATGTGAGCCATTTCGCCTGACATAAATCCAAATTATAAAGGTTTCTGAATGTTATTCTCTTTTGGGATATGAACCCGCTTCAACGTCTCTGAGAAGCGCGCTGCCGCCAGCTTGAAGGTATAAAAGGTGGAATTGTACTTCATAGAGACCACCGTCATAACCTCAAGCCTCACGCGACTGCGCACAAATGCTCCTCACAAGAAACAAAATCACTATATGTATTTGTGTCGTTTCTGTTGTACAAATATTTTTATGGCAATTTTAGATCCTGTTTCATTATTTCAACAGACAAATTTTGACCACAACTTACAAAAAAACGCCCCAAAAACTGGAAATGGCCTATACACCCAAATCATTCATGTAATGTACAGGTTATTTCGTAGGGGCACTTGCAAACCAGATAGGCCCCAATACCAGCCTTTCTGAACAGGCGATTGCATATTGACATATTTGCATTTTCATTGTAGAGTTACGCGTACATTCACAAACGCAGAGAACGACTTATTTACGTAGAAGGGCTCGGAGAATATTTCATATCATGAAGTAAAAATTTCCGGAATTCAGCTACTAACATGGTGAACAGCGAGCGATATCTTCGGAGCAGAGATTTATTCATGAGAAGGTCGATGCAAAGCAGCAGTCATCATGCGATTTAGTCAAATGGAATATTCTTCTGATTCTGCTACCAGGCAATTTGTTTCGAGACCATTTCCGCGGAGCGAACTCGTATCATGGGCCGACCCGACTTCACTGGCGAGGCGGCCGAACCTTCCTTCTAAATGTGGGCACGCAAAAAGCGAATTCATATAATTTTCATCTTCATACGTCACCATATTTTTTGCGAAATAACCTTTTTGAGTCATAGCGTTCCTTAGAAGATTCTGCGGACTGCGTCCGATTTTCAGTTCTTCGGATTAAGAGTATTTGTTTACAGAACAAAGTCTTCAGCTTTGAGTCCCAACCCCCAACCTGGAGGACCGGTCTCTGTATTTATGTCCCCCAGTGACAGGGTGGCCCAGTTATACCCCCAGACACCGGGTTCCCATTTCATCGTCTTCTATGACTCTGACGGCTACGGTGGAGGTATTCTAAGCCGCCTCCACACGGGAGATTCGAGCTTGATGTATAAGAGTAAAATTGTCGTTTGCAATAATAACAATTGTGAATATTTAAATGTCCCATTTTTTGACTATTTTATTGTTACATTTGGGTTTTGTACATTACACTAGGTACTTATGTAACAAGAATATTATTTGGAGGCGAAAGACCCACCGTCAACACGTTAAATTTTTCGAGGAAAAGAGGGAACTGCCAAAAAAATTGTAAATAACGAAATGTAATTTATGGCGATGTGATTAATTAAACATAAATACTAGGTGTGTTTCTGGAGCTGTCTTCCTTTTTCCCATTCTCTGATAGCCGAACTGCCCCTTATAATTCTGATTTCAATTCCCATAAATTCGCGTTTCAGCAGCGGACTCTGGCACCAGGGTTACAGCATACTTAAATATATACGTTTCCCATCCATCCAGCAATCTCCGAGGGATATCCGAGAAGTAAGGATACAGGTCCAGTAAAAATGCAAGGGATTTTTTTCAGAAATTCCAGTGCTGCCGTGTGAGAGGGCAGAGTTCCCCGGCCACAGTCACGGCAACGTTGTGCTCCCACTGTATATTTAAAATAGCCATGCCAATTAAAAATCTCGCCAAATTTGAGATTCATGCAGTAATTCGATTTCTTCACGCGAAAGGAGAAACTACTGCCGAAATTCATCGCAACTTGTTTCTGTTTACGGTGAAGATGTTATAAACAGGCAAAACGTGGCAAAATGGTGTCGTGAATTTGAAGCTGCAAGAAGTGGTGTTCATGATAAAATAAGGAGTGAAAGTCCATCCGTTGTCACTGATGAAAGCATTCGTGCTGACAGATGTTTAACAACTGGTGAACTTCAACAATGCCCAGAAGTGCCAAGAACTGTTCTCCATGCCCAAGAGAGCAGGCGAGTGATTTCTATGACTCTGGAATAAAAAAAAACTCATTCCCAAGCTCACTAAACGCATTGAGATCCATGGCGACTATGCTGAAATGTATATAAGGGTGTGTTGTAAAAGTGCTATAAGTGAACCCCCCCCCAACCAAAAAATGCTTTACAAATATTTTCTGGACTTTGTAGCTTTACTTTCGGATACCGTTCTTATTTATTCCTGTTGCTCCCACTAGGAGCATAGGCCATCCTTGAAACGCTTCGTTTCATTTCAGTTTCTTAATCCTATACACAGGCGGTAGGACTCCTTGAACGGGAGATCAGCCCGTCTCAAGGCCTCTACTTGCATGCAAGACAACACAAACACAGACTTGAAAGAATTCTGACGATGGTGTATACTGTGTATACCAGAGACTAGCTCTTTCTAACGGGCCCAACTGAGTAGGTTTATTCTTCCCTACCCACCTGAAGACGGAGACAGATGAAGTCTCCGAAACCTCATGGTCTTTTGTCTTTTACATACCAGACGATGTATGCAGTCCAAAACAAGCCAAAAAAAGAACACAAACACAGATTAAACCCACAGAGACATCCAAGACTCATGTGGGATTAGAACCTACGATCCCAGTGTTCGAGAGGGCGAAGATATTCCACGCCTTACACGGCACGGCCACTGTGATGGGCTCTAAACGTTGTAGTGTGAACTAAATATCCTGTCCCATACATGGGCCAGTAGCATCACGCAAACTTAATTAAACACAGGGACGCTGTTATCAACCGAACTGATTAATTGTATGCTGCAAGAGTTTTGTGTTTCACAACAAACTGAAACTGACAAAGCGCACCCTCTGAATTACTGACACCGATATGCACCCTCCCACTTCATTCTCCTACTACCCTTCATGTCATGAACACTAAACAACCCCCACCCCCCTCAGCCCTTATTTGTAACATCCCCCTATAATTCGCAGTGCTGTGGTATCAATTCTAAAGAGTATTTTTGCCAAACAACCGTGCCAATGGATGAGTTTGAATGGAATCGTTTAAAATAACTCCCACCCCAACTTTTATTTTCCTCTACCTAGCCGCCGCACCCCCGTGATTCAGAATGGGAAAGACTCCGTGGGCGGGGTGCAGGGGGTGAAAAAGTCGCAAAGCTAAGCGGTCATGGTACAGTATGTGTGGAGAACTTGGTTAGAGGCTAGGAGGATAAATGGAGAGGTAAACACTATTGCTTGTTAGGGTCACAGCGCAAGCTTCCAGCAAATGAACCGAGATATATGAGCAAAATCATTACAATTCAAATCCTATGAATACAGTACAATAAGTTAAAGTTCCCGGGCTTAACTAATTAAGAACTAGGCCATGAAAGCGTATGGGGGAGTTGATGCATAGATCCACGTTCTCTTGATCTCGGCATTAATTACAAACGAATGGTCAGCTTCACGCTCCTGCTGCTTAACCCCCAAGGTAAGATCCACGGGGCCCATTGCACAGGAAACTGGGTGAGCCTTATAACCGCTCTGGACAACATGAAGGAAAGAGTAGCTCAGTCTTAAAGAAATATTCGGTTAACATATTGCGGAGGAGGGGATTGGCAAGGTATGTAGTATGCGTGGGACAACTGAAAATGCCTAAGAAATTTTAGTCTGAAAAACTGAATAGAAGAGACCACTGGGAATATTTTGGTGAAGAAGGTAGGATAATATTCAAATGGATGTTAAACAAAATAGTATTAGAGAACTGAGATAGGGTGGTGTGGACTGGATTCATCTGGCTCAGAATTGGGTTCAGTGGATGGCTCTTGTGAACACGGCAGTGAAATTTCTGGTGCAATAAAATATTAAATTTGTTAATAGATCAGCAACTGGTGGCTTCTCAAGAAATACTGAGCTCCATGGAGTTAATTATTTAGGTAGTTAAAGAAATAGGCTATGAGCGTGCAGATTGGACTCTTCTGGCTTTGTATGGAGACACGTCGGGCTCTTGTGAGTACGACAACGAACCTTCGATCTCCGTAATTGATGGGAGTTTCTTGATTAGCTGAGTGACCGATTCGTGCAGTCAGCTTTCATTTTATTCCTAAGATTCCAGCACTGAGCTACACCTAACAATGGGTCAGCTGAACCGGTGCCTACTCTTTACCCTTTTCTCTATTTCAACAATTTTTACCAATCTGTGCTTGCATCTCCCATACCTTACTCTGTGGCTTTCTATAAAAAATTTTGCATGTATTTCCATTTTTCCTATTCGTGATACAAAGTCCATTCATTTCATTACTCTGACCGTAATGAGGAAAGAGTACACAACATGATGTTCCTCATTATGTAATGTTTCCCCAGCCCAATTTCACCCTTCACGGTTACTTCCTCAGTATCCCATTTTATTTAAACTTTATGCTGTCGATATCTCAGATTATGCATCGTCGGCTGACAGGATAATTTATGAATAATTAATCAATATGACTTCAGAGAAAACGGTTATGACCTGATCGAATGATCATTCCGAAAATTTCCATGGGGGATTCAGGAAAACCACGTAAAATATGCAAGCCCAGAATGTTAGCACTACGCTAACCTGCGCGAAGAGACCAGACGTACACGTAGGTGGGGGAATAATATTGTAACGTGTTTACGTTACCGAAGACGCCGTAGAGATGGTTAATTGGTTTATTTAACAATATACAAATAACGGCTACAATTACTTATCTCACAGTTGCGGGGTTTCACACTTTATAACCCTAATCGCATTAATCTGTTAACACTGTTGCGGGGTTTCACACTTTATAACCCTAATCGCATTAATCTGCTAACACTGTTGCGGGGTTTCACGACTTATAACCCTATGCGCAAATCAGTTCACTCTGTCTTCAGTAGTCTACACGTTTACAGTAGGGGAGCTATGTATCACTGTATCACACGCTCCCAATTACACAACCACACACACGTCCGGATCTTCTTTCCGCGACGGCTGCTATACTCCAACTGTAGTCCGCTGACTGGAGAACTGTTGATAACACACTCTCGTAGGCTTGCTCGGAACTATCCTCGGCGATGGCCACGTTATAACTCGGCGGCTGTCACAGTACAACTGAAGTCGCCGACTGCTACAGTAGAACTCGCTGGTAGCCACATTAGAACTCTCGGTACCCACATTAGAACTGACTGGTACCAGCTGTGCAGCTCACTTATATAGCTGCAGTGCTTGCCGGTTGCGTAATGAGTGCCACGTCATCCTGTTACGTCACCGCTGTTGATTCGCCTTGCATAGTTACCCGGTTACGGGGCTCGGCTATCTTCGGCTCCACTCGGCTCTCTTCGGCTCCGCTCGTGACATCACAGCACATAGCTGCCAGGATGCGGGGTGATTACTCGCCTATTACGCTAGCGTTACGTTACCGCTAAGGGGTGGGAGGGGAGCGCTGACTCACCCGCCGCGTCACTGCTGGTGTGCGGGTGGGGGCTCGGCTTTGCGCAACATGTCACAATATTAAAATGTTTCTTAGAAAAATAGTATAGGATGGATTCATCTGGCTGAGGATAGGGACCAATGGAGAGCTACTAGCGACTAGCGGCTTCTAAAGAACTCAGCTCCATGCAGTTATTTACCAAGTTAGCATTGATATTACCTGTATTCCCACATGAAAATTTTGCAATAATAGATGCAATTATACATTCAAAAGAAAGAAGGAAAAGTTATTCCTATTTAAGCACTACGACTTGAAGGCGTATGGGGGAGTGGATGTGAATATCCACATTTTCCTTGACCTCGACACTAGCTGGAGGTTAGTGGTCAGCTTCAATCCCCGGCCACTTTACTCCCGAAGAAAGAGCCCCCGGGATCCATTGGATAGGAGGTTGGGTGAACCTCAGAGCCGGTCTGGACGACGTTGAGAAGAGAAAATTCTTTACCCTACCGGGACTCGAACTCTGAACCCTCCGTCGACCAGCCCGTAGCCAGTCGCTGTGCCGACTAAAATATTCCGGCTGCTCTTAGTGTAACCATTACTGCATTAACCTCAGAAGTTTGCACGTTTACAGTGTTTATATTGCTGATGATGAGAAATGGGTCCTACAGCTGTGCTGGTAACCTCTAGTACCAGAGAAATGCATTACATTTCATGAAACCCCGCCAGTTGCTTAACAAGCTCCGACAGGGGAACTTTCCTTTGAAAGCAGGCCACAAGGAGATCTTGCCTCCATCCACTTCAGTGTGTACGGCAATGGGTGACTTGCAGATTGTGCTCCAGAGACCAGTCTGCACTATCTGCCGAGACCTTTGCGTCGGGGGTGGGGGCAGGGGTGCTGGGTGGTGTAGAATGTCAGCCCCTAGGGTGTA